GAGATGTAATCTTGGTGCTCAGGCAATAATAGTGGACTTCTCTACCTTGATATATAATGTACTATTTTCATTTTTTTAATTTAAACGCAGTAGGCGCAATTTTTGGTGATTCCGGTTTCGAGGGGTAACGGAGACGTGTGCCTGCATTCACTTTCACATTCTAAAAGAGATACGCATCACGTTCTTAAGCTTAACGTATATTTATTTGGCGTTTAAATTAGCCACATTTAGTGAAAAAATGCTAAATATTGTTCCGCAAGTGCTTTCCCTACATATCTACAATAGATCAAGGTATAGAAGCAGCATTTCAACACTAGTTTAGAAGAGGTATTTGTGTTGACCTACTTACGTTTTCACTTGATGTATCAATTCAAATTTAAAATGAGAATTGGGCATTCAAATTGAAGTGTTGTGTAAAAGATGTAAGATTGAAAGAACTCCTTCGTTGTCATAATCCTGCCTTCGTCGTTCTACTTTTTCGTAATTATTTCGAAACTGGGGTCTTACTACCTATCTGCATGTACATGTTGCAAGGTAAGGTGTGCGTTTCTATAAACAATCGTGTATATCGTTTGCCCGTATAACCTTAGAGTAAATTAAATATTTATTGGAATTGTGTATTAAATTTAAGATAGATTTTTCTAGGGATTTTTCAGTTAAGAAGACTACATGGAACCTATAACGTTTGCATCATAAATAAAGCAGATCTGCACTTGACAGTATTTATTGATTTAAAGATATAATTTAGGTAACGTATCGATTTTTAATTCGATTGGATATTTAAATTTGGCACATTATCTGAGCACAATGTTCCCAATTTTCTTGTCATAAATGTACACAAATTAAGTTTTGGATATACCAATACCACATTATTTAGTAACCACGTAATACATAACAGATATCTAAAACGTAGATAAGTTTTATACGAGACCTAAGGAGCAACTACAAGAAACTGTGGCATACGAACGTGGAGGTAAAATTTTCAACTCTATATATAGTAAAAAAAAAACACAAACAGTGGCCTACCGACTTAACCTCTTTCCCAAAAGAGTAAATGAGAGCACGAAAGACACATCTCTGGAAAGCAATTATTTTTCAAAAAATTCATATCGCAATAAAATATCAAATTACAAACTCGGTCACATTAGCACATGCAACCTTCAGTTATAGAAGTTTCAGACAGTTTCTTGTGGTGCTGAGTTTTACTCAATGAAAGAAAGATGTGTTATTTTAGGGCGTTTTTGTGTTTTCTATGCTACCTACTCCTTTTCTCTGTTGGCGGCTCCCTATTTGCGGTTTTTACTTATGATATTCAAGGATTTATTTCATATAAAGTTGTTGACGTACAAGGTGATCCAAAATCTGGTAAGGCCCTTTTGATACTGCAATTGATGGTAATGTTTATAAAGAAACTATTAAAAGCTGCCAATCAACAGAAATGATCCCAGCCAATGAGAGCATACTGATACACGACAATTATAGGATAAAAAGCCCCAAAAAGTTCGACAAGAATGTTTCCAGAAATTAAGTAATCCGCCCTATAGTCCGGAATCACCGTGCGACTGCTATTATTTCTCCAAGTTTAAAAAAAGCACTAGGTGACGAGGCAAGAGGTTTTTGAAGAGTTACGAAAAACTGTTTGAAGGCATCTGTTTTTTAAACAAACTGGAATAATTGTGTTTTGCCTTAAATTCATATCTAGATAGGTTGTCTCCTCGTATATTGTATTTTTTTTCTGTAATTTGCAATTGCAATCGTATCGTATCGTATGGGTTGCACTCCCTACGTACAGACGTTTTAAGATCGCATCAACAACCGTCTGTGTGACTTAACGACAGTTGTGGTATGACTGCCGGGACCGCCAGCGTTACATCGTTGAGTGAATCCTTCACTCAACGGTTACATGTCCTGCTAAGCATGGTAGTCAGGAGATGTTCTGTACCACTAAAAACTGGCAAGTTGTGGGATTCGAACTCCCAACCTGTGAGGTTAGAGTCCGAGTCTTAAACCGCTACGCCAATAAATATAAAATAAATAAAGGCTCAGCTATTAATTACGGGTCCTTGTAAAGGCCGGACACATGTTCCGCTGATGGAACATCACTATCCACGGCGCTACTGGAAACATTTCAAAAGCAATTTAAATCAATAACTTTATTATTGAAGTTACAAGAAGTGTGTTTGCCCGTTGTGTT